GTGAGGGGATGGCGGTACTGGGGGTCCCTGTGAGGGAATGGCGGTACTGGGGGTCCCCATGATGCGGTGGCTGCACTTGGGGGTCTCCATGAGGGGAGGGCGGTAATGGGGGGTCCGAATGAAGGGGTGACTGCACTGGGGGATCCCTGTGAGGGGATGGCGGTATTGGGGGTCCCTGTGAGGGGATGGCGGTATTGGGGGTCCCTGTGAGGGGACGGCGATGCTGAGGGTTCCCCATGACGGCGATGCTGAGGGTTCCCCATGACGGCGATGCTGAGGGCTCCCCATGACGGGGTGACTGCACCGGGGGATCTCTGTGAGGGGTCGGCGATGCTGAGGGCTCCCCATGACGGGGTGACTGCACTGGGGGATCTCTGTGAGGGGACGGCGATACCGCGAGCCCCCGCTGCCATGGCAACCAGGGACGATCGCTATTGGACTGACCTGTCCCACTTGGGCTGCCGTAAGGCAACGCGGAATGGGCTCCGATTGTCCCTGTGCGCTCTCCGTAACCGGAGTGGCGGGGGCGGGGCTGGTMGGGGACAGGGCGGGACAGCCCTTACCCAGCAACGCGCATGCGCATCGCGTGACGTCACGCGTTCCGGATGACGTCACGCAGCCGCTGCCTGAGGCGGGTCCGCTCGTGCCCTCAGAGCGATTGGGGCGGCGAGGGATGTGTGAGGGCTCCGTGAGGGATCTTTGAGGGGTCCGTGAGGGATCCGTGAGGGATCCGTAAGGGCTCCGTGAGGGATCCGTGAGGGATCCGTGAGGGCGCCGTGAGGGATCCGTGAGGGGCCGTGAGGGATCTGTGAGGGATCCGTGAGGGATCCGTGAGGGCGCCGTGAGGGCTCTGATCTTCGGAGCTCTCTCATTACCGACACAGTCTCGCTGAGAAAGGGCGCATTATTATTCTGTGAAGGGCTCAAGATAGAGGTTCCCACAAGTCAAGCAGCCTAAGGGGTGAAAAGTCACGTTTTTTATATAGTCAAATTTACATGAACTTGCGTGTCCAATACATCTTTATTTGGGTGATTTATCGTGCGTGTTTATTTAGGTGATTGATCTTGGAACACAAGGTTCTTCCGTTATCTTAGAAGCTTTCTGATGAAATCAGTTATGTTTACAGAAGGTGAGAAAATTCAGCCTCGGGACAGGTAATTCAACTTAAGGACATGAAGGACACACTGTTCTGCACGGGGTGCAAAGTGAAAGTCTCCACAGATCACGCACACCAAGAGGCAAGAAGTTACCTCTTTTACACAGTAAAATTCATGTGAACCCACCTGTCTAATTCATATTTTCTGCCTGACTAATGCATATTTATTTGGGTGATGTAATCCTACTCAATACTTGCTTTATTTGGGTGTATCTGACAGGATAAGAAACACAAAAGTCCTTTTCTTTGTTACGCATCTGTTGTAGTAGTTACCAGAAGTTACCTGATGACATCAATAATGTTTACAAAAGTTGAGAAAATTCAGCCTGGGGGCAGATCATTGGACCTGAAGACATCCACATCCATCAGAGATCCAGGTTAAACAAAAATCTGGAATGATTTAATTAAGGAACTTAGTACTTGGTGGAGCGGAGGGGCAGGAGAAAATGAGCAGAATTCCCCTCTGGCTCTGAAGGTAGCTTTGATAGGGATTTCAGATTTTTTGCAGATCATTTAAATTAGCTTTTTCCTTCTGGAACTGTGAACTTTGTGCTCCATGGTGTGATTGCAGGTGCTTCTCCCTCTCAAGCTGCTGTAAGTTTAGTGAGTTGGGCTTGTCCCAGTGCAACGGTGCAGTTAAAGTCTCTGAAAGAAAAAAGGTGGGTTTGCACTGTCCTTTTCTTGGAAGAAAATGGGAGTAGTTACAAATGGGAGAGTATGGCCCTACACACACCATAAACCCTCTGCTTTTTGCACCTACAAGGTTATTTTCCACCTTGCATTGCCTTCAGGGGAGTTCTGGGGTTTTTTTTGCAAACTATGTGAAATATTTTGAATAAATACCTCAGGGGKATTTCCCAGAATGAACCAAAGGCAAAATTCCTCACTAATATCCACCAGAGAAGAACAAGCAGGAGTTTCCAGACCAGCTATGGAGTTAGAACACTAAGAAATACCACACTGCTTCCTTCCTCACCTTTCCAGTCCCTCTTAATCACTGTTGCCAAGCAGGAAATGAATTTAAAATAATCAGGATTTATTCCTATAAGAATGGTGGGAACAAAGTAAAAAATGATGTAGATAACAATCCATTTTAGATTATATAATTTCCTCTGGAGGGTGAAATAATTTGGTCTGAAAGTTGTGGTATCTGGTGCCTATAGGGAATTTGGGCAGTARTGGAACAGTGAGTGTGGGGAGCAAGCAGCTCCTATTTTAAGAAARCAACTTCACCTTTACTGCCACTTTTGTTGGTGAATCACATTTTGACATGAGGACTGGATAAAAAGTAACCTCCTCAGCATTGAAGACTTTTCTGCCTGCATTTCTCTGGGAGTTTTCTGACCAACATAACTTCAGCAGTGGTGGAAAATATACAGTGGTGTCTTCTACCTTCTGGTTGTGGCAACGGAGTGGTATTTTGTTTTTTTAATTATTTCTCCATAATATGACTAATTTTTTTTTTCTCACAAAAGTGGATGTTCATAGGGATTTTGAAATGTCGCAGGAATGACATCTTTCTCGTGAGTCCTCTCCAAATGTCAAATGAAGCAGCAGAGATTACGAGTTTGGGAAGCAGCACTAGATGATAAGGAYTCCTGAAGATAGGTTCAGGAGATGAGGATGGAGTGCTAGTGCCATGGATTCAAATCTGATTTTGTGCTAGGACAGGGACAGAGCCAAACATGGAAGACCCTGTGGTTTGTTTTGGTTTTTATTTTTAAAACTTTGAATAGATGTAATCTTTGTCCAACACATCCAGTTGCTGGATCCCAGCCAACACTTCTGGAATAGCTGTAAGACACTTTTTTTTTTTAACCTAAAGGGGAAATTCTTCTGTCTGAAATACTTTCTTAATTCCCAAAGTAGGTCAGGAATGCAGCCACTGAGGTATGTGTTGTAGTGAGTCACGGTGCGCTCAGCTGTTGGGAATGCTGTCATTTGTCAACTGCTAAATTGCACTGGGAACAATAAACACAAAGTGGAAGTATTTCATAGTTTGTTTCATCTTTATTTGTCTCAAAGGAAGGGCATAATTGATTCTGTTTTCCATGAGAAGCTGATGCCAGACCTACTGTGGGGATTGCTGTGCTTTCAAGCATTGAACCAAGTCATTAGGGATGCTGCTGCAGAGATGAGACAGCCAGCTGACACCATCCTGGGGAAGCACAAACAGCCTCACCACATCTCCAAAATTGGCAGTATGGCTGGGCCAAGTGTCACAGGGAGGCTGTGTTCCATGTGCACTGACTGCACCACCACTGTTGTGCCAGTGATAAATCAAGGGTGAGGGATGAGTCCTTACAGGGCAGGCAATTTTTCCTCCTCTCCAGTGGTGAAGAGATTGCAGCCCTGGTGCGAGGAACACTTGGACAGATGGTGCTGCCTGGCAGTAGAAAGTGAGGTTCTTTYTGGAGGTTTTTGTTACTGCTCTGCTGGAATGGCTCACGTTGGCTTACCCAAGGGTAACTTAAACACATCCCTACAGTGCTCCCAATTGGAGTAAAGCTTGTATCCTGCAAATGTTGGGAGGGGGAACGTGGTGGGAGAGGCAGCGCTAGCACTGTKTATCCTCTGGATGGTGCTGTTGTGTTGTACAAGTAGGAGAGGGGGCCCGCGGAGCTCCGACGGAACATTTCGGTTGTTGTTTGCTCCGGGGAGGATTAAGGATGTGCTCAGTCCTTTTCTATTCGCAAATCTCTCAAGAATCCTGTATGTTGTGATMCACCTGTTCTCCAGCATTCCTGAGACTGGCTAAACTTACCCAATGACTACAGATGAGAAAACTCATATTTTCTAAACAATTCCTCCTGGTCAGGA